CTAATTAATAAATAAATCAATTTACTATCAAGAGTGCATTTGATATTTTAGGCTTTTTAGGATTAAGTTGTTATCTCATTTATAATATTTAGACTTACAGTTAAATTTCTTGACCTAAAATTTTCTATTAAGGTAAATTATTTCGTTCTTTTATTTCTAAATTTTCTGATATTTCTTCGTCTTCTAGGAGATAATTTAATATTAGCAACTCCATTTTTTTGTGAAATAGAAAGATAAGTTAATATTACCTCTAGATATAAATGTTATCCTAAGTTGATGAATGCTTTAGTATTTCATCAATTTTAATGACTTACGAAAAGAATTTCCTTTATTATTTACCATTACAGGATAGTTGATTTACTTTATAGCCTTATTGTAAGATTGCAGCATATTTAATATTTTAGAATATATCTAGAATCCAAAGTTATATTCCAAAGAGTTTTAACAACGGGCAGCTGTACTGAATTTAGATAATCATTATTTCTAATTGTTATCCAGATTCCAATTTATTTACATTTTTATTTATCTCATTTTTTCCAGTTATGAATTTTCTTGATTTGATATGTGTTATTTTTTTGCTAAAATTTATCCTAATTAAATGTTCTGTGGCTTATCTTATAAATATCACAGGACATATCCCTATCTATCACATCTTAGTTAACTATTAGGGCAATTTTTAGGAATAAATATCCCATTACTTTTGAGTTCTCGAAAAGTTTCTTCCTAATTTTATATTTTAACTTAGTTCTCTGCTTCCTTCTTGGAATCTTCTTTAACCACTGCAATGTAATTGTTAAAAAATGTTAAATAGAAATATGATTGGCAAGGATCCTTGTTGAACTCCATTTTTTTAATCTTACATTTTGTTTTATGATTAGACTATATGTACAGACTGCCATTTACATTAAAGAGGAAATCTAAGCAATTCAGTGTTCGGAACTTCTTCCAATATTTAATGAAGTTCCCAGTCCTATAAAATCCAAACTATTCTGAGTTCATAGACTTATTGGTTATCTACCTAAACTTCGTATAACACTTTATTCTATACATTGAAAAAGCAGACTTTATATCTTAATTGTTCTCGTATCACTTATTTAGGCTATTTTTGGGCAACCTTATTCAAAGGATTATTTTTTCGCTAAACAGTCAGTAATCATCTTTTTTTCTTTCTCTCTTATCCTATGAATCAAGTCTTTTACTTTGTTTTTCTGTATTTGTCTCTCTATTATTAATCTTATTATTCTAAGGTGAATAAAATCAAATGATAAAGCTTTATTCTATCATTTCATTTAAATATGATTGAAAGAGATATTTTTGTGCATTATATGGTAAATAATTTATATATTTTTGTCAAATACTCTATAATTTAAGTTTATAGCCTATTTTTAAAAAAAACTGCCATTTAAACAAGGATATAAAGTTAAATTATCTTACAACAATTTAGAAGGAATAAACTATTAGTATCAAATAGATTTAACCTTTCAGATAATTAAAATTAATGCATATTAAATATGCGATGAAGCTAGATAAAGTTATCTACTGCTTATTCTACATTATTCAAATCAAATGAGTTAATACAGTTGAAAATCTGAGGACAATTCAATTCGTTAAATTGAAGTAAGAAAATTCAAAAATCTGTCTCTTTCCATTTAAGCATGGTTTAACAAGAAATCCGTTTATAGGATAGCTCCTATAAAATCATATAATATTAGTATTAAAGTTGCCTTCTTAGACTAGTGAATAGCTTGTTAATAGTAGAATGGAATTAATTTAGAATAACATACTCAGTTGTATGTTTGGGATAAATAGCAAAGTATCTGGTTATTTGATACATTATTTGGAAATGTTTCTAAAATTAAGGATCTAACTAGAACTTAAGAATAGTAGTTATTGTTTTTACATAATGAAAATATAATATTTTGAATTTATTTTTGATATTTTAATCTTAAATACTTCATTTTATTTGTTTTGTGCTTGGATGAACTAAAGGTAGATGTGGATATTCCTAAAACAGTTTTATTTCTTTAGGTTTTTCTTGTGATTCTTTTTTACTTTGATATTTTTTCCAAGCTTTACTCATGCATTCAATTAAATCTATCATCAAGTTAGAAATTAACATGATAGAAAAAGGGCTATATGAATCCATCCATAAAGTAACAGCTAATTTTAGTCAAACTCAAAACTATAAATTAAAAATGATCCTGTTATGATAATAAAAAAAAATTCTCTAGATATTAATTTTGCATATTCATACATAGACTATAAAGGTTTATACTTTAATAAATAACTTAAATAAAAAATTGAGAACATTGAAAGTAATATTGATTATACTTATGGATAGTCAAGAGCTACCACAATAGTAACTATGTAAAACATTATTCTGTAGATCTAAAAGGATCTGTAATTAGCAGCCCAAAATTCAGACTTGGAATCTTGATAAAAATATAACCATTTTTATCTATCTTTTTTATTAGCTGATGTGATAGAAAGTAGCTATAAACTTATATATACAATGATCACTAACCCAATAATAGCATTTATGCTATTAAATGCCTTAAGAGGGGAATTGAAGCTGTAATCAGGAAATTGCAACAATGTGCTAAATAATAATTAATGAAGTATAGCAAAATAAACTTTAAATATTCCAAAAGAAAAGTATTCATTTTTGAATTTACAACAAAACTTCTAGAGCTTTTATGAAAATAGTTTATCAATACGCAGGTATCTAAGACTTTTTTAGAACTTTTGGAATAAAATATTATGTAACTTTTCAATTTTCTAAGATGTGAGTAACCTACTTATTAATTATGTTATTAATGAAGCGAAGATAGAGAAGTAACAACTCTTGGCATTCAACAAGTAGAACTAATTTAATGGATTTGATTAATTCTAATTTGATTTTTTGCTTTGAAATGGTAAGCTTCCCCCATTTAAATAACTCAATATTTCATCTATTCTAAAATAATCCAATATTGGTTTTAAAGACACTTTAGTAAAAGTATTCAGATATTATATTAAATGAGGTGGAAATGAATATTACATATACGTAATATAGGACAAAGACTATAATAGATCTAATAAATTGAAAAACAGTATGGCATTTCCGCTTAGAAATGCTAACCCTGAAATGCTAATCATGGAATAAAT